GGAAATCACCCATATTGCATATTGGAGGATTGCATATTGTAATATAGCAAGACAGTATGTCATGTTGTATACTGTTGTCCTCCTTATAGATACTCAGATCACCAGCTCCAGGCCTGCAAAGTCAACCAAACAGTACAAGCATTAAGTTGCTTTTTGTACTTTGGTTGCTATCAACTCAGCCTGTCTTCCTGGCTTACCAGAAAGGCTGGCTAGTTGGTTCGCTGGTTGGCTCCTCCCAGTCCCAGCATGGCCAATTCCCAGGAGGTTATATCTGACTTTTCTCTCCCTGGGCTTTGCATGGGTTGTCTTTGTAAAATTTTAATATTCACATTTTCCCTAATTTGGCTAGTAGGATCTCCTAGAGGCAGCTCCCTCTGTCTTGTGAATATGCTTGTGATTTTATTAAGCAGTTTTGTTGAGATGCAATTCACATAACATACAATTCAACCACCATCATTCCATTGTTTCTACTGCCAAATAATATCAGATTTTGGGTATGTACCATGGTTTATTTACTCATTAGTTCATTGATAGAAATTTGAGTTATCTCTACTTTGGAGGGCTATTGTGAATGATGCTTGTGCAAACATTTGAATAGCGCTTTTTAATTTTTTTTTTGTTTATTTTTAGACAGAGTCTCACTATGTAGTTCAGGCTAGCTTTGAACTCACTGTGTAGTCCCGGACGGCCTTGAACTCACAGCAATCCTCCTGTCTCAGCCTGCTGAGTGCTGAGATTACAGGCATGAGCCACCACACCGGATTTTGAGCACTAATCTCTATAAGGACATATATTTTCATTTTTCTTGAGTGAATCAAGTTATAACTCTGTGCTTAGCATTTTAAGGAGCTGTGTCACAAGCAGTTTTCAAAAGCGATAGCACCATTTTGAAATCTTGCCAGCTGTGTATGATGGGTCTAATCCCTCTCCACTCTGGCCAACATTTTTGCCATCCAGTGTGTGCAAAGTAATATAGATTTGATTTATATTTCCTTAATCAAAGACATGGGGTACGTTTTTATGTGCCATTTTCTGCTTTCTGCATCATCTATGGGAAGTTTCTATTCAATTTTTTGTCCCTTTCTTAATTGGATACTTTTATATCTCTTATTGAGTTGTGTTATTTATGCTGTTGGATGCAAATTCCTGGTCAGATACGTGACTTGCAAATGTTTTCTCTCATTATATGTTACTTTTCATTTTGATGATGCAAAAACATTTCTGATTTTGATCTTCATCTTCATCTATTTTTTCTTTTGGCAGTTGTACTTCCAGTGTCACTTCTAGGAAAGATTTATCTAGGATTTTCACTTAGGATTCTCCTAAGAACTTTGTAGTTGCAGTTCTTAAGTTTACAACTGCAAATCAGTTAGAGTTAACTTTGGGGATGATGATAAGGGTTCAATTTTATTCTTTTGTATGTGGTCATCTAACTGTTCCAGTATTATTTTTGAAACTCATCAAGTTTTTATGAAAATTAAGATATTAATCTACTTAAGGAATTTAGGATAGTACATAGGGATGCAGAGCAGCATGTTGTAAAAATTAAAGGTCATTACTTTGTATTTATTAAACTAGATATCTACTTGCATTTTTCTCAAGAAACCACCTGAAAGCGCACCTGGTCTAGCGCCTGACAACGTAAAAATAATGAAACAGATTTTCTCTAGTGAATGGATAGTAAGTGAACTTTCTCTTCTGAGACTGTCAGTGGGTAAATAACTAGACAGATGTCAGCATCAACAATGATAAAATCTGTGCTAGACCTGGCCTGCAACCTAAAGGCCTCTTAAACATTAGATCATGTTTACAGAGTCGTATTCCGTGCAGGGTATATAATTTCTGGGTGCAGATCACCTTGGAGATGGAGAATCTCTTCAGCATAATCTTTATTCCAGCATTGTCATCTATGTATTTTTTTCTTTCCTTTTCCTTTTGTTCCTGAGGATAAGCTCAGAGGACAATAACTCTCTTAACATTAGTTTAAGTGAAATTTCTTTTGCTGAATCCTTTGATTTTCATCCTTTGAAAGGTGAAGATGCAAGACTTACTCCCAGCCCCTGTACCGTCTCCATCTGCATTGTTTCTCTGGATGATCTCATTCTTTTAATGACTTTAAATACCATGTAAGTGTTGATGACTCCCAAACCTGTTACTCCAGCCTTAGCTCTTCACTGAGATCCAGACTTACATTTCCATTTGTTCCCTTCATGTCTCAACTTAGATCTCTAACAGACATCTCAAATGCAACATGACCAAAACAGATTTTCTTACACAAATGTACTATTCTTCCAGTCCTCTTCCTTTTAGTAAGTGATATGGTATAATGCCACAGCCTCTGACGGTTCTCTTCCATCCTGGCTGCTGCAATTCTACTGTATATATAATAGCCACTTAGAATCCTTTTAAAAAGATAAATTACATCATGCTATCCTCAATTGACTTTCAATTACCATAGGGGGTAATAGTAAAAATTCTTTGCAGGACCAATGCAAAGTTCTTGATCTTATTTCTTAAACTGCAAGATGATAAACACTTTTTTAGGTGGTGGTGGTGGTAGTGATGGTACCAAGGCTCCAGTTCAGGAGTGCTCCCCTATTGAGATACTATCATGGCCCCACTGGGTGCAAATATTTAATGATGTGAGATACCTGCTAGTCCCTATATCAAATTTTCAAAGGGTCTAGACTTCAGCCTGCTCCAAAATTTTTAAAAACCTTTGACGAAACAGAAGTGTTGAGGCAGGCAAGGAGGATGGATTCTGTGCCAAAAAATATTTTGAAAAAGCTGTGCTAAATCCAATCTTATGTCCTACTGAGAAAGATCAGCAATTGTGTTCCTCCTGCCTCAAAGCAAGTGGTGATCCACAGCTACCATGGTAACATTAACAAAGCATACCCTGTTGTTTCTTCAGTTAGAAGGCAGAATGGGCTTAGTTCTGCTTAAAGGATTAAAACTAATGGACAGACTAATGGATTAAAGTTTGGGGTGAAATTTAGGGAGTGTGGTTACATCAGGACTATTGGGAACAGCCTTAGGAGGCAGGTGCAGCCCATAAGTGTAGCCTATAACCCGAATACCTACAATTAAAGTATAATTCCCAATGTGATATTAAGAGTTGGGTCTTTCAGGAGGTGAACAGACAATAAGTGAGTGATCTGATTTCCTGTTAGGCCCTTGTAGAAGGTCCAGAGAAAACTAGGTACATCCCTTTTTGGTCTTCTGACCATGTGAGGACATAGCAAGAGTGCTTCCTTTATAGCAGAGATCAGCTCTGATGGAATGATGATTGTGCCAGCATCCTGACCTGACTTTGCAGTCTCAAGAACTATTCTTTTTAATAATTACCAGGTCTCAGCACAAATGAAGTCAAACTCAGAGAGAACATATATGTGAGAGTGTCTGGAGAACCTACCAATAGGGATGCCTAGAAGGGGGTGGAAATTTCTGCAGATACCGGTGGGTGGCATATGTTTAGGGTTGAAGAAGGAATCAGAAAGGAGTAGAGATGTTTTCTTCCCAGGAGAGAGAACTACCAGAAAGAGAGCCCAATAGGAAACCTCCATGAAGGAAGAAATTACCCCTAAACATTTGCCAGTCCTGGGAAAACACAAAGTCACATTCTTTTGGCTCTAGTCTAAGCATGACTCTTCCTGTGTGTCTTCAATTTTCCTTCTGCATAAGCCCATTTCAGAGGGATTGAAAATGTAGTTACTAGTTACCTAATAATCCTATATTGAACTAGTTTAAAACTTGTTAGTGACTTGACTGGATTGTGAGATAATCTGCATTATTATTATTATTATTAGTCTTTTTGGGACAAGGTTTCACTGTGCAATTCAGGCTGGCCTTGAACTCATTTTGTAGCCCAGGTTGGCCTTGAACCCTCAGTGATCCTCCTGCCTCAACCTCCCAAGAGCTGGAGTTACAGGCATGCATCTCCATGCCCTGCTGATAAACCACTTTTTAAGAGTGAAAAAAATTGATATGGTTGACTGATGCTTTTATTCTTTCTCAAGGGAAGATTCTTTCTTTGAATAAAATTTGAAGGAATGATGAAAGAGAAAGAATAAAATTACTCCTAATAACATCCTGAGGTGAATATCCGGCTTCCTGCCCCTTAGCTCATGTGTTGTCACTTAAGAAAGTTTCTCCCAGCCTTCTTCGCTTCTCTTGTAGGTCTAAAGGAGCAAATTTTTATTTTTCAGCATTTCTTTATGATGGTCACTTTCCTTCTAGTACACTTCAGATTCCATAAAAGCTGGATGCTGCTTGCCTGATTTGCTGCCAAATCCCCAGTGACTGGGACCGTCCTCAGCTAATGTTCATTATGAGGTGTGTTTGAACTGAATAGTGAGTTTAAATTAAAAAATGTTATAGAAAAAGACAACACCATTAGGCCCCCTCAAAATACTCTGCTTCAAAATATCCCATTATTCTTGCCACTTTATTTTCTTTGGTCCTTTTGAGGATTTCTTCAGTTTTGTATACTATTCTTGTGAATTTTTAACATAACAACTTCATTGTTAAGGTCCTCTAGCACAACAAAGATGAAATTAATGGAAAAGAGCACACAATATTTTGACTCAGAACTCAAGAAGGTAAAGAAGTGTGACAGGAGCCTCAGTTCTGTGCCTGAGTCTGTGTAATGCAAGAGCACACTGGGTGGGAAAGCAGCAGTACACAGCAGAAGCCCTGAATGTATTAGAGCCCTGTCCAGGAACAAACATTCCCAAGAAAACGTAAAATTTTCAACAATCCCGATATTGATGGAGCTAAGGCAGAGATTTCTAAGGAAGCAGCTGTAAAATAGATTAACCTTTGCCTTTGACAGGTTGATTGAGAAGGGGGAGCTGGCAGGAGGGAAGTGGGAGGCTCAGGAGGTTGGGGGTGGGGCTTCGCGTAGCATGGTGGGGGACGGGCGGTGGCTATGCCTCAGCTTCTGGTTACAGCTCCGCTGCTGCCCACTGGGTGGGGTGCTTTGTGACAAGGATGGTAGAGCTCTGTGACCTAGGCCTGCAGCCCTCCTTTCTGGTGGGCTAGGGAACTGTCTGGGCTGACTTGACTGAGAGAAACCATGTGATTCAGATGTTAGACAATCTTATCTCTCTTCTGAAGAGCTTTTGTGCCACATGGCTAAGCCTCAGCTCCACCCCTTGGGCTACGGATATGATCCTGGCCTTTGTGGGTGGACTGGGGTTCTCCCTCGTGTTATTGCCCTTCCTTCCGGATAATCCATTCCTGCCACCTCCACCACTAAGGAAGAAGAAAAGGTGTAGAAAGGTGAGAGATCTTCAGGTCGCCTGCAACAGAGAACAATTCTCTCTTTCTTCTACTCTTCTTTCTACTGCTTTTCCAAATGAAGGGGAGACCAATGAGAACGTCTCAGAAAAGATTAGAACATCATTCTTTGCTTATCCATTTATTTACTTATTTCTTTTTTGAGGCAGGGTTCCTTTCTTTCTTTCTTTTCTTTTTCTTTCATTCTTTCTTTTTAAATCAGAAACTGAAATCAGACTGTATTTCAGTGACCAAGGACAGGATTCCCTAGAGAGCAGGAGACCTCTGCAGTAGGACAGAGCCACAGCACTGGTTCCTAGAAGCCCTTCTTGGAGCAAGTTCCTCTGGCTGAGTCCTGTCTGTGTGCTGCGCTGATCCATGGGCAGTTCTGAGCCCCTGAGAGTTTCCCAGCAAAGCCTAGAACCACCTCTGTCCTCAGCAAGCGGATTCCATTCGGCAGTTGAGCTTCGCCCATAGACACCTCTGCTTTCTGAGCAGACATCCTGTGCTGAGAAAAGACATGCATGATAGAGCGAGCTTAGAAAATCATATGTGCTTTTCAAAGAAGGAAAACAGAAGCCACTTTAAAAATGAATTTCATTGCTAATTTGGAAAGTTATATTATTCAAAGACTTCAGGAGAATTATTAGGGAGAGAAGAGAGAGCACTGGACTCAAGCCTGTGTTTCTTTCTTGTCTCTCAGTACCACATGGTGAAGAAGGATTGGAGTAGGATCCGAAAAACGAGCTGCGCTCTGAGAGGTGAGGTTTGCTTCTTCCACCCTAGAGGTCTCTTGACCTTGCTTGTCCCTGAGCGGCTAGAGACTCCTTCTCTGAGGATGATAACTCCGGGGAGGTAGGGGAGGGTGGCTGGGTGCTGGGAAGGAAAGCAGAGCTGAGGACATTTCCCAGGCCCTGTGCTTGGAACAAAGCTGTGACAGGTTTGGGGATAGGTGATGTCCAGGAGAGGTGGAGCAGGTGTCTATGGACCAGTGCTGCCCAAATTTGGTGGTGTGATCTCATTATAAAACTCTAGAGAACTACTTCACTTTGCTATCACACATCCCTCTTTGAGATGATCTGCCCTTTCTCCTCCACAGCAAGGTTATGAAGAACCTGGAGGTTAGTGGAGATGGAGGCACCTTGTAAATGATTAAGTGCTACCTCTCTGTGTGACTTGGTATCACTGTCACTGGTTTGGACAGTGATACATGGATTCCACACTTGAGTTCCTCATTTTTTTTCACAGAGACATTCCCTTCAATCTCCTCTCTTCTCCAGTATAACCCTTTCCACCATTCTTTTCCAGCTCGCAGAGACTGCTTAAAGGAGGCAGAAGGGATTAACGACCTGGCTTCATTTCTGGGAAGGTGAGAAACTTTCCACTTTTCTCTGTGTCTGCCCTATCTGGAGAGCTATGATGTGATGTGAGGGGCCTGGGCTTAGTTTCAGGAGTCTTGGGGGCACTACATCTTGGACTGGGGTATGACTAAAACCCTGGGTGCAAGACTTTTGTAAGCGTCTTAATGTGGGGCCCTTGAAAACCCATTGACAACAGCGGTCTTCCCCTATGCAGGCTGCCTGACCTTCCATTCCCATCTGCTCCCGTCTATAGCTGGTGCCTTTTCTCTTCTTCAGCCACCTGGGGAATCTCTTACATGGTAGCAGATTCAATCACTTCTCAAGAGAAGATGCCCCTGGTGAGAAGTTCCAACCGTTATCTGCTAGAGCTGACCGAGCAAGTAGGCAGCCTTTGGAGGACCTGTTTGTCACCGCTTCATCCTCACTGGTTTCCCAGGCTCCTTCATCTGAGCACCTCCCATCTCCACCCTCTATGTTGTCACCAGGTCTGAAGACTTTCACAGTTTCTCTAGGGTCACAGTCCTCCGTGAGGGCCTCTTCACCACCAGAGCCTTCAGGTCCTCTAAGATGCCCGTCACCCCAGCCATTTTCACTTTCCTCTTCCCCATTGCATTCTCCTGGCCCCATGGCCTCCCCACCACCTCTGCCTGACCCCAGCCTGGCTCTTCCTCAGCAGGATTCATCACTCCTCCCACTGGGGACCATCCCAAGAAGCTCCTCTCCACCCATTGAGTGCTTGTTGCCTTCTCCTGTCCCAGCAATTTCAATTCTTGGTCACTCAGTCTGTGCCATCTCAGCCCTACCTCAGTGTCAGGAGCCTCCCACAGCTGTATCCCACTCCACCTTATCAAACAGTGAAGCCCAGAGAAGTCACTTTATTGGCCAAGTGCCCCAGGCCTCATTCCTGGCAGACACTGCCCTGACACAGGTGGAGAATGGTAGTTCCCATTTCCTCAGTCCTGATGTCCAGAAGGTGCTGGAAATACTCATCACCAAGAAAGTGGAACTGAAGATCCATAAGAACACTAAAGGGGAGGGACAACACAGCCCCCTGTATTCTCTGGGGAATATGTTAAAATCCCCGGGCAAAAAACACGACCCTATCGTGTCACGTTTATGGAAAACAAAAGAAGCAGAGCATCTTCCTGCTGTACCACAGCTCCACTTCCCAAAGACCTTGGGGGAACACATGCAACAAAAAGGGAGCCAGTGTTTCTGGGGCCTCCCAGGTCTACACAGCGAGTCCCTGGTGGATAACACCAGAGTGCCTGATGCCTCACTAGAGTTTTCTACCATTTTATTCAATGGACTCTGTAATTATGTCCCGGCACGAATTCAGTCCAATGTTTGTCCACAACTCTTTCCCACTCCACCCTTGGCCAATGATGTGGCCCAGCCCCACAAATTTACTCCAGCTCTGCCTCCATCCCAACCCCCATCTGTGTCTCAGAAACAGACCCAGGAGCATGCTCCATCTCTCCCAGCTGGTCCTTGCCATTCACCTCAAGCCAGGGCTTGGGAAGTTTCTAGTCTTAAAGATCAGAAGGGGAAGCAATATCCTATATCACGTACTGTTCAACACCTACAACGTGAATATTTGAAGGAGCCAGAGGAAAAGAGAGGGTTTCCTCCTGTGGTCAAAAAACCTCAAAAAGTCTTTAGCCAGCCTGCTGAGAAACATGGGGCCATCCAGAAAAACAAGTCCCCTGGCAAGCTCCCAGTGGATGTTATCTATTTTAAGGTCCGGGAACAACTGGAGGAGCATCTTCAAATAAGATTGATGTGTGGGCTGCCCCAGAAGGTTCACCTACCTCTGAACAAGGAAAAAGACCCAGGAAACAGGCAGGCAAAGGAAAATTGTGGACTTTCCCAGACTTCAGTGATTTCAGACAAAAGCATTCAGGTCATACAAAAGACCATGTCAGAGTTCCCAGAAATATCCCAGACAGGGAAACACTCAATCAGTGACCTGGAGGAGGCCCCAAAAGAGTTATTCAAGGATCCAGAAATCTCAATGGTGAATGTCTTAGAGCCCATTTGCGACCCAGCATCACCCAGCAAGGGGTTAAGACTTATAAGAAGTGATTCAGGCAATGATCCAGCCATCAGTCCAGACAAGAAGAACCTAGAAGACAGTGAGAGCATCTGTCCAAGTGGGAAGGTTGAACAGACAGGGGGAGGAATTCCTGTGGGTAATGGTCATTTCACCCTTACTGTGGACCATGCCTGTGACCATCCTCCAAACTCAAACATCCCCGTGGAACCTCAGGATGAACCATCCCTGCAGGGTCAGGAGTATGGCAGGAACACCCAGAACCTCTCTGTCCTTGATCCTGGGACTCAGCAGAGGCTGGAAGCACATCTGAAAAGGTTCTGTATGAGACACAGGTGGGGCCTAGCCTTCAAGGTCATCAGGGCCATAAGTATTTTGAAACGGACAAAGGCTCATACCTCATTGCTTCCACAGCCTGCTGCTTCCTCCTCAGCCTCCCATGGCTCTAAGGCTGTCTCTACCCACCAGGATAGCAATTTGCAGGAACAACCATCTCAGAGTATTCCAGGAGAGAAGGTAAAAGCAATTATATCAGTTCTCAAAATGCAGGGTCCTGTCACTAGTCACTCATTCAAATCCTCAATGAAGAGTCTATCTGGTGACTGTGGGTCTACAGAAGCTCCAACAACTGGACAAGAGACCAGCCTCACTGCTCTGCCCCATACATACTGTCCTAAGAGTACAGCCTGGCATCCTGATACTGTCTCAAGGCCAGGGAGAGGTAGCATTGGTCCAAGTCCAATATCAGTAATGGACAAATATCAGCCTCAGGAGGGAGGAGGTATGATCTCAAGTGAACCTTCGCATCAAGTGTTGACAGGGGAGATGAATGTAGAATCTCCATGTGCAAGGGACAGAGACATCCAGAAGATCATGGAGACAAAGGCGAAGAAACCCTTGGAGTGGGCAGTTACCAAGGGAGCCAGTGTGATGTTACCATCCCCAAATCTTAATGTGAATCCAAGGAATTTAAACTCTCTGGGGTCCAATAAAAACCTTCTCTCCCCCAGAATCTGTACTGTGCAGGAGCCAGGAGTCTCCTCCTTGGGTTCACAGACAGTGTCGAAAAAGAAGAGTCAGGATTCAGCCACCAGAGTCGTCCTGCAAGACTTTGCCACTGGCAAGGTCCTTCAAGCCACTGCCTCAGAGATGCCCCGCCCCAAAGACATCCTGGCTTCTCAGGCCCGTCTGGCCAATACCCGAGGTGCATCCTCTAGCAGCACATCATCTTCCCAACGGATAGTTGGCCCCTTAATACAGGGCAGAATTAGCCAGGGTCAAAAGGAGCCCGGGATCTCAAAACTCCAGGATCCACAGGAGATCAAGAGCAACAAGTTTTGTCCATCTGAGAGTGGAGGGGGCTTTGTGAGCCCCAATAAAATGGTCACTAGTCGCCCATCACCTTCCCAAGGGCTATGTGATCACTCAGGGAGGGACACGGTGGGCCAGGAACAGAAGGCGCTCAGGGTGCCCAAATCCCAGGAGCCCAGGATGAGCAAGAGCCATGTCTTTGCTCCACCTGAGAAGAAAGGGAGCTTTGAGAGGCCCAAATCAGGAGGGAAGGAAGAGCAACGTGCAGGAAAGAGGAGCATTGGAGGGCTGACGCCCCCTCCTCAGGTCAGGGAGGCTAGAGGCAGCACAGGACACAAGGCTCTGCTCCAGTCAGAGAAGAAAACGTCACCTTCAGAAGCCACCATTGGGACCCGAGTCAGGAGCTGTCTGCAAAATATACTGCCCAAGAACAACAGAGTGGGGGCAGAGTTTCTGCAGAAAGCCAAGCCCCCATTAACTGTGACCCAAAGTCAAGAGTTGGCCACAAACAGCAATGTCTTTATAGACAGAGGGAGCATGGAAACCCAGGTGCTCATGAGCACTGTTGGACGGATCCTAAAGGAAAAAATGAGGCTACACCATGAATTTTCTTCCTCAAAAAATTTTCAGAAAGGGGGACCCCAGGTAGATAGGTGGTCCTCCTGCCACAAAAAAGCTTCCTCACCACAGCAAAAGAGAATCGTGAGCAATATGACCTGTAGTCCGCAGGCCGAGCCTCAGCACCCCAGCCATGTGACGAATAGAAGCCTGAGCAGAGATAGGGCAAACAATCCTGCCTTCCCACCCAGGGAGCCTGGGCCCCTACCCAGTCAGTTCCACAAGAAGCCCATGGGGGCTGGAGCCTCAGAGCACTGCCCCAGGCACTGTGCCCTTCAGAGAACTGTGTTCCCCAATCAGTCACATAATACTTCCCACATCAGTCCTGGGGAAAAATCTTTGCTGAGCAAACCTGTTCTGTCTCATACAGGCAGGTCTTGTGTGGGCTAAGATCGTCTTTCTACAGAGATGTCTGTTGATTCCCAATAAATGACTTTTTTTTAATCAGAGGTTGTGATTTCTGTGTCTGTTGTGCTGAGGCCTGAGAAAAAGTGTGTGTTTGATTTTCTAAAGAGCAGCTTCAGGCTATGACTTAGGCAAGTCCCTTGGTGTCTCCAAACTTCCTTTCCTGACCGCCCCTTTGCTCACTGCCAGGCTTTTCAGCTCACCCCTTCTTGTTGCGTGGCTCAGGAATGCTCAGAAAATAGTGCCATGAGTCCCCCCAAATGCCGGGTTAGCAGAGGAAGCTCTAGCATATGGTTCCTGGGGGGGATTGTTAGCAACAAATTTAAGAACGATTAAATTTAAGGGAGATTTCTTGAGTGTGAAAAAGGTTTTGCAGCTTGTAGCACTTAGGTCCAAATATGGTTTTTGCCACTTTTGGAAATTCCCTCTCCTGAGCTACCTTTTGGCATGTTAAAAAATACAGTGAATCCTGCTGCTCTGTGACACTCAAAGAAAAGGTAGCTTGTGAAAAGATGGCAGTGTCTTTAACAACCTTATGTACCAGATTTGGCACAGGGTAGCTTATGCGTCTTCCCCAAAGTCAAAATGATCAGAAGGTAAATGTTTTGAATCGATTGAAGACATCGAGGCAGCCATGACAGCATGATTAAAAATATTCATGAAATAGTCATGGACGGAGACTTCCACTAATGGCAGGATGATGCCAACGGTCTGAGCAAAGCAATGGAGTATTTTAGGAGATTAATGGTAATTATTTGTAACCATAATAAAAAAATCAACATTCACCATATTTTTATATTATATTATTAGAGCTTAATAGTTGTTAAATGAGTAAATCAGTTGATAAAAAGTTAAGAGAAACATGTATGATAGAAAAATACACAGTCTTTCAATCTCAACTTCAGTCGAATTTGTCTGTCTGTTGTGGATCATCAATTCAATACAATGCATTAAGCCCTCCATATCTATGGGATGTGCATTCATGGATTCAAACAACATAGAATTTTACATCTGTAATGAGCACATGCTGACATTTTCTTGTCATTCTCCAATAATGCAATATAACATGCATATGACAATACATAAGGATTATTGAGATAGTGCTAACATTGAATTATTGTAAGTGTTCTATAGATGATTGAACACACAAAAACATAGGCAAAGTTCATGTGGAGATATATGTCATTTTATATAAAAGATTTCAATATCCGATAATTTTGGCACAAATCCTCTTTGGAAATGAAGGGATAACTGTATAACATTATGTGATCACAGTATTAGTCTGACGAGTTTTCTCTGTTGATCCTTTCATGATAGTCATAATTTAAAAGTTTGCATTACCATTTGAAACAAAAGTTTTAGACAAAAATGTAAAAACATTTGAAGTATTAGAAACCCTTTGAATAGACAGATGAATGAGCAGATATTCGTTTAGGAAGATATTTACAGAACAAGTTGCAGGTCATGGGTCACAACACATGTCTCCTTACAAAAACAATTTAACTGCTACTGCTGGGTCCATTATAGCCCTGGGAAAAGTCAAGAATAAACTAAAAGGTGTGAAGCAACCCAAGAGAATATAAAAAAATAAGATGGTCACAGAGGAAACCACAGAAAACATTTTGTCTGTGTCAGTTCTTTCCACTGTGTGGCACAGCTGGATGCTAGGTGAGATAGCCTTGGTTGCAACCTCGCCGCACAAGTGAGAGAGAAGAACAGAAGGAACGCAGCAGCCTCCAGCACAAACTCCAGCCCCTTGTCATCAGTAGGGATGCCTACAGCTTTTATATTTGAGGATCTCTGCAGTCTTGCTACACCTGATCCCAGCTAAAGAGCAGCCCAGAGTGCAGAGTTACAATCCTCGCTGCCCCAAGGACAGAGCCATGACATCATCAGTATCCTTCAAGAGCCAGAACTGCTGCGGATCCCATATGTTCAGGTTTATCTCCACTGAAGTTAGTCTGTACTATCTGGGAAAGGTGAGTGCAGATGTGCAGATGGAAGACAAAGCTCCAAGGAACAAGAAACAGAGCTAAAAGAAAATACAACGCCCTCTCCAACCCCACAATGAATTTCCAGTGACCAACTCAAAAGAATGAAAATAATGCAGAGCTGGCATAATGACAGATACACAAACCAATGGGGCAGAATAGCTCAGGAGTAAGTCCATATGTCTACAGTCATCACCAACGATACCAGTACCAGCCAATGCAGAAAGGACAGTCTTGAGTAAATCGTGTTGGGGACACTGGATATCTACCTGTAGACAAATGAAACAACTCCATCTTACATCACACACAGAAATCAACTCAAAATGGTTGAAAGACTTAAATGTAAGACCTGCAATCATAAAACCTATAAAGAAACATTGGAAAAATATTCTTGACGATCTACACAAGGATTGTTAGGATCTGCCACCATAAGCATAGGAATGAAAAGCAAAAATTAATAAGGATTACATCAAATAAAAATTTGTGTTTTACAGTAAAGGTAGGCAATATATTTAGGATGGAAAGAAACTCTGTGGATTGGGAGAAAATGTTAAATCACACATAAATGATTCCTATAAAAATATGTAACATACATCGATACATAGAAAAAAATTCCAAGTTGATTTCTTTTTTTTTTTTTTGTCTTTTTTTGTGTCATGTTCTCTCTATGCAGTTCAGGCTGGCCTTGAGCTCACTTTGTAGTCCAGGCTGGTTTCGAACTCGCAACGATCCTCCCACCTCAGCTTCCCGAGTGCTGGGATTACAGGCATGAGCCACCTCGCTTGGCTTAGTAAATTGATTTCTAAAAATGAACAGAAGCCCTGAATGGATGCTTCTCAAAAGAAGGCAAATAGCCAATAGATATACAAAAAAGTGCTCAACATCCTTCAACCCAAAACACAAGGAGATACCAGTTTACTCTTGCAAGCTTGGTAATTAAATAGAGATAAGAGCTAGGTGAGATTTAGAGAGCAGAAATTCCTTCTGACTACTCATAGGAATGTGCATTAGGGCAGCCATTATAGCCAACGATATAGCTATTCTCAATAAATTTAACAGAAATACCTTATGATCCAGTAATCCCACTCCTGCATGTATGGCGTGAATGGAGGAGAACCACATGCACATGAGAGGAGAGAGGTGCCAGGTTTGCTTTCTCCTCTCAATGGAAGCAACCCAGCTCTGTGAGACTGCAGGAAAAGCATTAATTCCTCTTGGTGATCTAATAATATGAGAATTAATGCTGAAGGGCATGCGAGAGCTCTGGGGATCAGTGAAGCTCCCTTCTGGTTGTCTCTGATCAGGTCATGAGGCACCATCTTGGAGGAAATGTCTGGTCTCTGGCTCCTCCTTCTCTGGTGTTCTTCCTTGCCCTCTGCTTTCCCGCTGCCTTGAGAGGGGAAACTTTGCTCTGCCCTGATGCCTCTGCCTCAGAGCCGACCACCCATGGACTGAGACCTCTGAAACTGTGAACTAAAACAAACCTCACCTTCACCTGCCGATATTGAGTGTTTTGTCTCAGCTGCATGATGCTGAACAATGTGTCTAGTCACCGCTTAAAGTTCTCAACATCTTTCCAAACTTGGAGTTTTAGTGAGAACAAAATATATTTAAATCAATGTAGTATATATGCAGGAGAAATGAAATCACCATCCCTAAAAGACATCTGCCCTCCAGAGATCATTGCAACCTTATTCACAAGAGCCAGAGACGGAAATACTCCAAGAATGTCAACAGGTGAATGCATGAAGTAAAGGTGGCATGATAGAATATTATTCAGCCTTTAAAAATTAGACAGTGCTGTTTGCAACAACATGGATGACTGTGGAGGACAACGTGCTAAATGAAATACTCTGCACACAGAAAGGCTGCATGATTTCACCTACATGTGAAACCTAAAATAAAGTCACAAGGTATTGGTCAAATTGTACCAAATTTCTTTTTTCTTTCTTTCCTTCCTTCTTTCTTTCCTTTCGTCTTTTTGAGATGGTCTCATTATGCAGTTCAGGCTGGCCATACATTCACTTTGTAGCCCAGGCTGGTCTCGAACTTGCAAGGATCCTCTAGCCTCACTCTCCTGAGTGCTGAGATTATAGGCATGTGCCATCACGCCTGGCTACCAAATTCCAATTGCTGTAAGTGCATAAATTCTGGAGAACTACTGCACAGTAATGGTACTATAGTAAACAGTACTGTAATCTATGCTTGACATTTGCTATGATGGTGGCTTTATGTGCTTTCACCACACATAACTATTTTTGTGTCTGTGTGTGACAGGATCTCATTACATAGTTTTTTTCTGGCTTTGAACTCACTATGGAGCCCAGGCTGACCTCAAACTTTCAATGATCTTGCTTCAGTCTCCCTAGTGCTGGGACTACAAGCATGCTCCACTATGCTTGGCTCATACTCAATAATACTTTTAAATAATAAATATGTGAGGTGGTGGCTATGTTAAGACAACTTTGCTCTTCTACATATTCTTTTAGGGATCTTTTTGATGTTGAGTGTTAGAGGATGGCACTTACATATCCATTCTAAGCTATGGCATCTTGGTGTGGTAGACAAACCTAAGATGGTTTTGGGCCCCTGGATTTGGGCCTTTCTACTCTACCCTTGAGTGCTGATGAGGACTGGGAATTGATTATTTCAGGTACAGTATGACAAAGGTGATAGGATGCCATTCTCCTAATCGTATTGACATCACTTTCTATCATACTCACTCCCCATCTTCTGTCAGACTTGCTCTGTTGCTTTGATGAAGTGAGTGGCCATGTTTAAAGAGCCCCACTTGACAGTAAGGACCTCTGTAGGGGCTGAGAGGTTTTATCCCACACCCAGAGAGAAATGTGTGTTCTCAGTCCTTTAAGCATGTGAAATGATTCCTCTCATCAGAAACAAAATCAGTTTCAACAGCCATCCCTCACTGACATCAGTGGACCAGGGTATCTGGCACTGAAGGCGTGGGTGCTCATGGATGAGAGTGCATATATGACAGAGAGGCTCAGATGAGACAGACTCCTTCAGTGTCAGTATTTTTCCCAGTGATCTCCTTATACTTGTATATATACTTATTATTTGTCATTATTATCTATTTGATCCTATCTATCTAGCTAGCTATCATCTATCAATCACATATCTTGAGAATGTTATAACGAGTATAACATTCACACAGCCTAAGGGGGTGGAACAGGAAGGACTGAATCTTGTTACAGACGCTGAAAAGGCCTCCATATTGATGTATTAGCCATGGCAGCATACAGGCAAAATCAGAGAAGGCAAATCAGGGCCTCCTGGTAACTGAGCACAGGGGAGATTTGCATGTCCTTTGAGCCAAGAGCCTGCCCTTCCTTGCTCACATGAGTGTCCTCTCTGAGTGAGTTCTGGCTCCACTGCAGACGCAGAGCCTGACCGCTCTGCTTGCACTTTTAGGCAAAAAGCAAAAACACAGGACTGTAGGTGGAGACAGGCAGAGCCTAGGGACCAAGACATCCGCTGTCTGGTGACTGGAGGAGGGGCAAGGATGGAATCAGCACTGACAATCTTCTTCATGTCCCTCTTTGTCCTATTGTGCGTCCTGGGGTTCCTGGCCAATGGATTCATCGTGCTGACACTGAGCAGGGAGGGACTGCAGCATGGAAGGCTGCTCCCCTCGGACATGATTCTCCTTGGCTTAGGTGCCTTCCGCTTCCTCCAACAGTGTCTTGGGCTGGTGTACTGCATTTACTTCTTCTTCAACCTGGTGGACTTCTCCTTGAATGTTGCCTGGCAGCTCCTTTCTCTACACTGGGACTTCCTGAACTCATCCACCTTCTGGTTTGCTACCTGGCTCAGTGTCCTGTTTTGTGTAAAGATTGTTAACTTCTCCCACCCTTCCTTCCTCTGGTTGAAGTGGAGGTTCCCAGCCTTGGTGCCCTGGCTCCTGCTGGGCTCTGTCTTCATTTCCCTGTTGGTAACTTTGCTGTTCTTTTGGATGAACTCAGCTGTGTATCAAGCACTCATAAGGCACAAACTTTCTGGGAACATGACTGATATGGAATGGAACAAGAGGCTGGACATTTGCTACATCATGCCTCTGAAACTTGTCATGACATCAATTCCATGCTCTCTTTTTCTGGTCTCGATTTTGCTGCTGATTGGTTCTCTAAGGAAACACAGACTGAGAATGCAGGACAATGCTGATGACCCTCAGATTCGTAGCAACCAGGTTCACACCAGAGCTCTAAAGTCCCTCGTCTTCTTCCTTGTTCTGTATGCTATGTCTTTCATATCCATGGCTGTTAATGCTACAGTCTTTATCACCTCCGACAGTAGGTGGTACTGGCTATGGCAGATCTCAACCTACCTGGCCATCAATGTCCATCCTTACATCCTTATCAGCAGTAACCTCAGGCTTCGAGGCATGGTCAGGAAACTGCTGCTCTTAGGCAGGGGCTTTTGGGTGACCTAAGTAGCAGAGTGTCCTAATCCAAACCTCCAGAAGAGACTGAATGGAGAGATCAGACCTAAGCCTCACCTTTATGGTGATGCTGTCAAAGGCAGATGAGCGCTAGATCATTCTATGGGATTCCTTCTCTTGGGAGGAGAGGATAGAGGAAAAGCTAGCTATTCTCGGCTCATGCTTCTGTCCTTGGGAAACTATTAAAATGGACGCACATTGACTATGCATCAGTAGCACTACCCAGAAGTTCAGAATATACAACTTTGTGATACTTTTATGTTTAAATTCTCTTTGCTATCTGGTAGACTTTAGTTAAAAGTCTAACTGATTACTGTCTCACATAAGCTGGCTGCTGGGGCATTAAGAAAAAATGTGTTTACGATTAAACTAGGATACAGATGGGAAAGTAGCAACACTGTTGACGACAATATAATATTTACTATGATGGACAGATTGTGGTCAGCATTAGCCAGGGTTGGGAATTTTAATTTCACTCCATGTAGATTTTTTTTCTTACCAGTCTTAGATAATTTGGTTTTAAGTTTATTAAGGTTACTGGATGGTTTCTTGATGATAACACATTGCTTTTCTTGTTAATGTGTCCTTTAGACTGACTTTGATTCTCTCTCATCTGAAGTTTTGAGTGGCAGACTTTTTCCTTTTTTATTATCCCTTAGAAAAAGACACATCATGACTTTTTCAAATTATTTCTGGGAACTTTTATTTTTCTTCTCTTGAGCAAATTTCAACAAGTCACATCTACACTGAATAAATATGGCTTTTTATTCAGAAAAACAAAGACTCAAGAATTTCACTTAGTTTTTGTCTAAACACTATGGTACTATTTTCCATAAAAGGATCAGCCTGTTAAATTTTATATTTAAATATTATCTTAAAATAATTTGCATCAACTACTGTGCAAATGTTTGAGAAATACTTTTGGAGAAATTTTAATTACAGAATGGTGTCTATATGGCAGAATTAGAAGTTTTTGCTAAAAATATTACAATGTGCAAATTTCAGAGACTAGTATGCAACTGGGTTACTGGTAGAGATTTAGCCTTCTTGGAGAGTGAAAATAATCTTTTGATTAGAGCATATGTAGACACACTCATTAACTACTATCTTTGGAAATGACCAATTTTTAATTTAAATATTTAAAATCTTTGCATGGTTAAAAACTCAAAATATATTGAAAAATATATGGAAGTATCTGCCTCTTATCTATCCCTTCTGAAGAACTCATATGTTTTATATTTGTCTTTCTAGAGATATTTTGTTCTATCCTGGTACCTAACTAATGAACTAATCAATTAGCTTACATATTGATGTATTCTGTACCACTAACAAACCAAATAGTTTATTAACTGAAGATATTGTCCTGGAGATCTATGTACAAAACACACATAGTACTCCTTGACATTTTTTTCCTTTGGCATGGGTGTATCACAGTTTCTTTAGTTATTTGTGATAAATGTGTTACTTCCCCTCTTTTGCTATTGTAGCAATACAGTAAGGAATAATCTTCACATATGTAATCTTGTACATATGCAAATGCATGGTAGGCTACATTCTATGAAACAGAATTACTGAGTTAAATAGCATGTACATTTCTCACTTGGCAGACATGGGTTTGTACCAATTTACTTCCTCTTCTAGAAATTTCCTTTTTTCTCCCTCCAATATCACTTTTTACTTATCCATTAGGTTAAAAAAAGATGTATTATGTAGTAATTTGCATGACTCTCATTACAAGAATCAAGTATATTATTATCTTATGTGTTTTGAGAGATTTATTTTTAGTTTTTATGAACACTATGTCTTTTTTTTGGATTTGATTTTTGGACGTTTTCTTATTGATTTGTAGTTCTTTTTATTTTAGAGAAATGAGCTCTTTATGATGTGGGCAACAAATTTTTCCCCAATTCTTGATTTTGTTAATTTTAATCTTTTAGTTCCTATATTAATTTTAAAAAGCTTTTCCATTTTGAAATACTGGTAGACTCATGAGAAGTTCAAAAAGTAAGAGAGTCCTAAGTATCCCATACCAGCCTCCTCCAGTGGTGACGTCTTATGTAGCTGTGGTACAATGCCAAAACCAGGAAATTAGCTAAGCATGGTGGTACAGGCCGGTAATACCAGCAATCTTGGAGACTGAGGAAGAAAGCTAGTAAGTTCAAGTCTAGCCTGGACAACTTAGTGACCTAACAAGGTCCTGTCTCAAAATTAAAACAAAAATTACGGGGATGTATAATTATAGGGGTGTAGCTCAGTGTGAAGGCTTTGAGTTAAATACCCTGTACCATAAAAAAACAAAGAACAAACAAACCAGAAGCCTCAGGAAACTGACATTAGGATACTACTGTTAATGCCTCTAAAGACCTCATTTAGTTTTCACTGTGAGCTTTTATCCCATGTGTAGATTTATGGAACCACAACTGAGATACAAAACTATTCCCCCTTGGTTTTTATACCCACACTGATATCTTAGCTCCAATATATGTATTTGTTTGTCTCTTTTTACTTTGATAATAGTTTTGCCATGTATAAATTTTGTTGATTTTATAAAAAATAATTAAAGACTACTGGGATTTTGTCTTATAATTAGAAGGCTTTCTTTATTCTAGAATAAAAAAATCTTTTTCTGTTTTCTTTTAGTACATTTATGATTTATCTTTTAATATTTTAACTTTTCTAGAATTTATTCCAGTATAAGGTATCACATATAATGAATTTAACCTCTTCAGATGGTTAGCTTGTTGTCTTAGTACTATTTATTTGCTAATTTTTCTCCAGTGCCTTAAAATGCTAGTTTTTATCACATATCCAATTCTTAAGTATATTGACTTATTTCTAGACTTGCTATTCTATTTCACTGCATTACTGTTTCTATCTTAGTTCCTGGGACAAAATGCCTGAAATCCACAGGTTAAAGGAGAAAAGGTTTATTTTGTGCTCACAGTTTACAGAGGTTTTAGTCCATGGTCAGCTGGGTCCAAGGAGCATGGCAGAGAGGCCTGGCAGGGGAGAAAGAGCTCTTACCCTGGCAGGCAGGAAGCAGTGATTTCTTTCCTTTTTTTTTTTTTTTTTAAATTATCCCTTCTAGGGTAAAGACCTTTTGGTCACTGCCATGTACAACCAGGGTGGGGCTTTCCTTTTCAGTAAATCCATCACCCACACCTAGAACTATGGTAAATTAGTCAGTGGACTAATCCACTCTAACACACCCATGACCCAGTCACTCCCAAAACCCTACATATGAGTGCACAAGGCCTTGGGAGGTGACATTTAGAAGTAAGCCATAACAGCGTGACCACATGGCATTCCCACAGCATTCTAACTATTCTAAATGCATATATCCAAATACCTGGTAAATCAGTCTTTCTTCACTAGTCTTTTTTATTTTTATTTTTTTGGCACTAGGAATTGAACCCAGGTTCTTGTGCTTGCAAGGCAGGTACTGTGCCCCTAAGTTACATCCTCAGCACTTTCACTAATCTTTTTAGAAATTTCTTGGTTATTTCCTTTTAGAGTAACCTTTGGTGGAGTCAAACCAAAAATTCTTTTTCTTTGTTTACTAATTGAGAGCATATCAAATGTAGAGTTTAACATCAGGAGACGTGAATTTCCATGATGTTGCATTAGCCTATGCAAGAATATGGTATGGTTTTTTCATGGGCTCAAATTTCTTTTATTACTTTCAAAAATATTTAAGCTTTAAAATATAGATATTCATTAGGATTATAGTTTTGTGGTTAGAGTGTGTGCCTAGTATTACAGGATCCCAGATTAAATCTGTAGTGCGCGCGTGCACGTGCACACACACACACACACACATATCTAAAATATGGATCTATTACAGTACTTCTGATGTATATTTGCAGGTTATATTTCATCCTGGTATGCCTTATTTTCCTGGTATATTAAATTGGGTAGCTACCTCAGTGTAGTTGTGAAAACTGAGATATATAATATATATCTGTTTATGTGTATATTTATATAAGTGGAACTTATCACAGCTTTTAAATAATAGCTAATAATTAATTTTATTGTTTTATTATTTTCTATATGTTGATCAGTATAACAAGAGTAGAGAAAGCAGAGTATGAAAAGGAATTTTCTAGCCTTCAGCAAAGACCAATTATTTCCTTTTATTCTTTCTGGCTTTTTTTTCAATTTTTAAAAAATTTTCTTTAAAGAGAAAAAAATGAAAACAGAAAAAAGGGTAGAAATTGTACACAGTTTCAAAAAATAAACAGTAAGAAGTCACTAGTTGGTAGATTACATATTGTCATCTTAGAAATAGTTGTTCAAGTTACAAAATTAAAGTATACAAAGTGAATGTTCAAATGGTGAAACTGCAAACAGTTCTGTTCAACAATCCAACAAAAACTTAGTAATATGGTTATCTATCTTACACACTTAAACATACATGCAGTTATATCTTTTAGAGCACCTTCTTTTCCTCTTTTTTATAATAACAATTAAATATTTTGGGTTTTATTACTCCTTCAGTTCTTATTACTTTTTTTGAAGAGAATAAAACCAAATGTGACAAAACAAAATAGAGTCAGTCAAAACAAAAGGATGGACATAGTACATGATGTAAAAACAAAATATAATGTGATCAACAATGGTTACCATAATGCCTCTTGCTATCTTCAAAAGAATTGCCCATATTATCAGGTATCATGAAATTGAACAAACCAGTACAGAACAAAACCAATAAAGATGAAACATTGGAGACATTACAGGACTTCAAAAGAAGTTAATAGTTAAAGCAGAATGGATATCATAGTGAATCTTATTGTCTTCAAAGCAGTTGCCTATGTCCTCAGACTTGATATTAGTAAACAAAACAGAATAAAGTAAAATCAGTCAAAACAAGACTGAAAGCAATATAGGGCTTCAAAATCAAGTTAATAGGAAATAAAAATTGGTTACCATAGTATATCCTGCTATCTTTGGAATAGCTGTCCATACCATCAAATCTAATAGAAGAAGACAAA